GTTTCGAGTGGCCGTGATTTGAAAAGAATTCTTTCGAAAATCGATGACCGGACGCCTTTTTATACCAAAGGCCTTGATGATAACAATACCCTTTTGTTATCCACTAAATGTTCCCGTCGCGGTTAGCGCGGCACGTGTTTCCTGCAATTTCCACGACTGCTTCCAAAGAGGAAATTCTTTAATACAAATGTGCTTCACATTGAAATTCCACAGACTAATCAATACGGAATCTTAAGACAATTCACAACCTATGCAGTGTACCAGTTTAGCCTCATTTAATCAAATATCACTCAGTAAACGTAGAATAGGTTTTCCCGGCCAATTTCCTAAAATGTTCATTCACTTCTGAAAATAGGTCATTAATTTTCGTCTGAATTTGAGAATCGCTCTGAACACGCGTTTCGTTTTGGCTAGAAGAGCATTCGATTCCATTTTAGTTCAATCAATTAAGTGATTGAGCAGCACCTTTCGTTTATGTCCATTCAGACTCGTTTACAAGACTTCTTCTTCGCTTTAAGATGGCTATTTCAAACATGGGAATAAATACAGGCATTCAAATTCAGACGAAAATGAATGACCGATTTTTTGTTTCTGTTTCTGAGACATTCCTGTCCTTTAAAAGTGTTGTCAGTGCATTTTGGCGATGCATTAAACCTGTATAGGACTAGAGAAAGATGTATTCCTTTTAAGATTAACTGATGACGAAGGCGAAACATATTGAGATTGTAAAAACAAAATTAAAGTATATCTTGAGCATGAAATTGGGGGCATTTTAACCATTTAAATTAAATTACTTTCTTTCCCATGAGAAACAAACACCTGTTCCAATTATGAAACTATGTTTACGTAAATCAGAAGGACATTGCATTGTTTTATTCAGCTGACATTGCACAACAAAACAAACAACGCAAACACAATCGATCCTATATCATACAAGGATATGGGATTGCTGTGAAATGCAACCGGCAAATTCCTTGTCAACCAAACGGCATGGGCGTCGAGAGAGGGGAGGGGGGGGGCGCTTGTCATTATATGCAAAGTCATATTGCTGTGAAAGTTTCTGCACATTTAACACCATGGGCGTCCGCAGGGGGTGTCAACGGGGGTGGGGTGGGCAAACGTCCCCCGCCTACCCTTGAAAAACAAAATTATACATTGAGAACATCCCAGAGAAAGTACAAGGATTTGGGGAAATAATGTGCTTTGGACCCCTCTAGAAAAAAATCCTGGCAACGCCCATGCCAAACGATTGTAAGTGCTGCAATTCTTGTAGCGCTCGTTAAAATGTCACAAAGATCACACCACTCGAACAAAATTGAATTCACATTATTTTGTGAAATGTGCTCTAAATACAATCATTTCATTCAAATAAAACGACATGTAACTGGAAGACGTGTGTTGTGGTTCGTGTACTGGAAGTCCGCATGTATGGCACGAATGGCCTAAGAAAGCATTCCTTTAAAAAAAAACGTGAACTTTAAAGTTAGTTAAAATTTAGTTAAATTTGAAGAAAAAAAATCGAAAGGAAATGTTTCAATGTTACGCTAATTCTAATCCGGCCGATCATGCATCGAATGTCTGATATAAAATATTGAATAACACATCGATCGGTTATCTAGAAATGCTGACAAGTAAGTAGAACACATATGCGTGTACACAAGCTGAAGTTAACAATTGGGATATCAATGTCACTGGAGTTGCAAGTTATTTCTCATCCCCATTTGATTTGCAGATTATGCAATCTGGCCCAAATGGGATTTGGACCTTCGACCTATGAAATACCGTCCCGGTGGGTCATCAAGTGCTACCTGTGACGAAATCAGACTTTTCACAAACTTACCATGTTTTTGTAACATCGTTTTATTCCAATTCCCAATTTTTGCATTTTTCACCCTTTTTGAACACCTTGCGTCGATGTAATTAATATTGCCTGGCATGGCCATCTTAAGTATCAAAAAGGTTTCCGTGAGTACTTTTGTGTTTGTTGCTTTTGTGACGTTTGACCTAATTGGAGAATAAAACATTGAATGCAGGCTCTTGTTTATTTTTGGTGAGTTTGTCTTACATACGCAGTGTGGACTTCCGAACAAAAGACGTCCACATAATGTAGGTAGCACCGACGTGTGTGTGTGTGTGTGGTGGGGGGGGGGGGGGGTGCCTCCACCACAAGGCCCCATTAAGATTCTTCTCAATTTAAAATAACAAACACCGAAATCCGATAACCGTGTTGCTCAAACCTTTTTTTTTTCAATTTGAAATAAACGAGACTGATCATGTGCCGAACGCATGATATAATTAGATATCGATTAAAAAATCGATCGGTATCTGTAATTGCTGACATAAGCAGAACGTTCCATGGGAAACACGCAGAGGCTGTTTTACATCATAACTACTGTACAAGCTGGTAGCAACAAACTTTCATTATGAACATTACTAAGCTGCAGACGATACATCACTTTTTTTCTCCACCAAACGGCGATTAATCCCGCGACAAATATCGTTCCGGCGGCTCGCAACTGTAAGCTTCTTTCCATGGCGTCGATTGCCCAATCAAAAGTCTCCAAAAATTCCAAATGTTTTTGTAACAAGATCGTCACGTTTTCACATCACTTTCAAAGAACAACCCCGATATTGCTTTTTTTATAGATGCAATTTTATCAATGGCTTCAAATGAAATCAAGAGAGTGCATGCCTGGGCCACCTCAAATGAAGAATGGTTTTCCTGAAACAGCTTTTTGATAATCGCTTCGATTTTGACATGTTACCAATCGGGATATCAGACAACAAATAATGCATGCTGGCAATCTCTAGAGAGTGCAGCCTGCATTGACTGTTGCACTGACCATAAGAGGTCGTTGTAAATGATTGATCGGGTCTGTCTAAATACCCACATGTGAATATTGGTACGGCTTTCGAATGCCCTCAAGCTTCTATACCACAAATACTAGCGGTACTGTAACCGATCACCGTCACAGGAACGTCTGCAAGTCACTTGGGTGTCCGGGTCGGTTGGTCTCCGAAAATTGACCAACAATATTTTACTAAAATAGTGCCAATGCCATGCCGTCGTCAGTAAATGCACTCTAACAATTGTTTGTGACAATTCCTACAGTTGTTTATGAAAATATTGTAAACAGAGGCAAGATATTGGCAGTAATGTTATAGTCACGTGGTATTTTGTGTAGTGGTAGCGAAATTGTAACTCGGTCGGCACTGACATGTGGCAATAGACCTTTATCATGCTGCCACCATTTCAGTCATGTTCCCTGTATCCAATAACAGTACTGAACGATAATGGCTTTTTTTTTGCAAAAAGGAACCACACTATTTTCCCTTCCAGCCTCACTTTGGTAACGTCGATTTGAATGGGAAAAATCAAGATGGCCGTAACATGATAATGGTCTATAGGCGGCCTGCAAGGTTTGGTTGGTATAACGGTATTCCAATTGCATACCAAAGACTGGTGGTTTCCAAAGTAAAAAAATCCACCAAATGAAAATTAATACGTGAAAAGATTGTAAAATACATTATTAAAACGGTGCTTATAATTTAAAACACTTTTGGCAGTTTTAAAATGTTTAGTCTAAATCAAGTTAACATTTAGTCTAAATTAAGTTAACATTTTTTTGCAAACAACAAAAGTCTATTTGCGGCATCAAATGAAAAGTGTAAGAGTGCAAAACTTTATAGAGTGGATCCGGAGTTCTTTTATGAGACATTTTGTGATAAAGAAATGAGAAAAAGAAAAGTGTATTTACCACGTTTCTCGTCTAGTCAGTTGTATTTACTTTTAGAACTTACGTACTTAAGGGCACTACCAGGCGCTAGTACGATGCCTACACATGTCACACACATCTGCAAATCTAAACATGTGGTAAAAACAAAAATGTGATTACAGTAAGTACAGTTAGCCTCTTCGGATTTCCAACTGCACATATGCACATGAATATTAAATAACTTTCCTTTAGCTGTATAACACTTCGCCGTATGCGTGCAAAATCATAGCGGGTGCTTGCAAAATCAAAGAAATTGTCTTGTTCTGAAGTGAGCACAAAATTTCAAAATTTTGGACAGCGAAGTATTTTTGCTTTCCGTTGTCGTTTTGATTGCATGACAAACTAAAGAATGTAGATTCGGTCACCACGTTCTCCAGAGACTTGTGTGCATGTATGTGCCGCGTTCATCCCGAGTTAAAATCGACGTATATTGTTAAGCACACGCTCAGTTGTAATACCGATTTGTTTTTTAAGTGTTTAAAATATATGTAGACCCTAAACACAATTTTTAAAGTGCAGTGCCGACACGAAAGAGTTTCTGTTTTCAGCCCAGCCTTTTTATTCCGTTGAGTCGATTCAATTGTGGACAAATTCTATTCTATGTTGGTTTTTCTTTGTTGTTCAATTAACAATGAAGTCCATTGAAATGTACTTATGCAGTTAAAGGCTTTCAGAATGTCGCGGGGAGAAATTAAATAAAAAAAAATATTTGTATAGACACGAGGCGTACCGTGTAGTTGAGATAGAACTATACTGATTAAATTAACCGATGTTTGCATTAGATTCTCCGGAAACATTCTGAAAACCATGTAGATTGTTGTGAGGAAGAGCGATCATAGCGTGAATTTCTTCGGTTCCTTTCCTTTTATTATTTTACCCTCGAACATTCATAATTGCTCACAACCATCTCCCCTTGTGTTGGTTCCCTTTGTCCTGCACACTCACGCGTTGTCAATCAATTTGGCAGCTAGGCGTCCGTGGATGATACGTCGTGTATAGACACACCACTCACGTCTACTGGATGCCGTTGGCTTAATGCATTGGTTTCAATCTTGAGGCCATATTAAGTTAAATTCAGTATTTGCGCAGAAGAGCAAAGAGGACCTTGGTCACACGGAATGTGTGACTTCGCATAGCGCCAGTATTTGCTCAGCGTTTCAACTGTGGCGTACCAGAGTATCTCTATCGCTCAGCTTTCACAGAGGCGAGCGTACAAAACCAGTCATGACGTCTAATGGCTCAGAAGTCACGGACTCCGTATGCGAAGTGTGGGAAAATGTTCCCCATCGAGTCCTACGAGCTACCTACATTGGCGTTGATCTCGTGCTGACCATGTTTGGGAATGTACTGACTATTGTAGTCACTAGAAAGGTGGAGGAGTTCTCCGACAGTACCAAAATGATGTTCACGTCGCTGGCATTGGCTGACCTCGGTGTGGCATTCGTTGCTGCCACGTCTTTTGCTGCCGAGATTTCGGGTGGTTGGATCTTCCCAATGTGGATATGTGAAGCTTCTTTCATATCCTTCTACATTTTCACAGCTGTTTCTGTTTTCATGCTTGTCATCATGACATTTGACCGGCTGGTGGCCGTCGTCCGACCGCTCCGTTACTCATTGATTTTGACCAAAGGAAGGAGCCTGGTTGCTATTGCCTTCGTGTGGCTGGCTTGCACCGTAGGCGCAATCTTCACGACAATTACCAACCAGATAATATACAACAAATGCTCGGCACTCTGCTCAACAAAAGACAGGAACATCCTGCAAAGTGTCGTGGCTATAGTTACCTATTACTTCATCCCTTTGACTCTCATAGTCCTGATGAATGTAAAACTTCTGTCAGTTGCCCACCAGCACGCAAGACGGTTCAGGAATCAAGTGGTTGCTACGCCCGCAGTCTCCATCAATCTCGAGCGGGCCCACGTCCAACACCATCCCCGGAGCACCTTGAGGGGCAAAGCTGTTGGCGTAGTCACTCTCGTCACCTTCGCCTTCATCGTCAGCTGGTCACTTTTTTACGTGAAGCTCATACTCAATGCAGCTTCCGATGAGGGTGTCAACTTCCCAGAGGGGATCGAGTTTGCTTCTATCTGGTTGGGACTGACCAACAGTTGGTGGAATGTCATCATGTACTCGGTGATGAATCGCAGCTTCCGGCAGCACCTGAAGTCTGTTTTGCGTCGGTTGTGTTCTTGGTTGCCCGAGCGATTTAGAGACATTTGCCGGAGATAAAAAATACAGTAAACCCAATGCCTTGGCCATTCACTCCGGTCGTGTGACCAACCTTTAGTGAATGTGAATGCAAAATTAGCTACAAATTGATACGAACATACGCCTCTGTGACTCAAGTTAAACCTAACTACACAGTGTGCTTTTGTCAGCCAGTCATCGTCAACAAATCAACAAAATCAAATGACATATTGCTTCATCATGTTATTTTTACAGGATGTGAAATGTATGATTTAAAACCAACGGTTGCTTCAGGGACATTCTAACAAAGGTAAAAACCGTGTTTGATCTGTATCTTGCTTCGATCTCTCTTTAACTCAGCAAAATGCATTTCTGCAGACAAAACAAACACGTTACTCTCTTCAGAGAATGTATGTTTAACATAGATCGGTATCGATAGTGACAGAATCAAAACCTTTCAGCGGCTCGACTCTGCTCTGGCGAACTGAGCGAGACATGTAGGTGTGATCCCATCTCAGCCTTTCCATAAGTCAACATTAACAAAGCACCATGACATTTTAATTTAATGTTTACATGCACATCTTACATCCCAATTTTACTGAGTGGAGAATGACCAAGGTATTATGACTATGTGGAACTAAATAATACTGGCACGGAACAGTACTCATCACTATTATTGATGCACCCCAACGTGGCGCGGCCCGTAACGTGACGCACTTTGAGTTTTCGCCTCTAGTGCCTTGCTGTAGAGCAAAATGTTACCTAAAATTTCACAGTGACATTTTATCAAGCTCTAAACATTTGCGTTCACACATCTTGAGTTTACGTACCCGCTAGAAAGTTCCAGAGAAATTCAATTGGCTTGGTTTTCTGATTTTGTTTCGAAGTGTACAACGAACCCCTTTAAAATGAGGCCAAGTGGTCGAGTGGTAATTCTGTTTGCACTAGAAAGCAGGAGGTCGTGGGTTCGAGTCCCGCCGAGTGATATTTTTTCCAACTTTCACTCGGGAGGTAACACACCGAGTATACAGTGTTAATACGTCGGTAAAGGGCAAAACTTAATATTGATTTACATCGCCCCGACGCAAAATTCCATCTTATGAATAAAACCATTCGGATAGTTTACGATTCTCCCTCAAACAGCTGCTTGATCAACAAAACATTTTTAACCCTCGTTCAAAATACTCTCGCCTGTGAATCAACACTCAATTCTTCAACGTGTAATTACTGAATTTAGTTTGTAACTATGGATGAACAGGGTGTTCCAAGAAAGTTGTTCAAGCAGATATCCTTTAATGTCTCAAAAACTACTTAACATGAGTATTTTCATCTTGATGGAGCATATTAAATGTACTCTTGTACATATTCATTAAAATGCCATGGAAATCCGTTCGTGCAAAGCAGAGATCTATAACAGATTATAAAAGGCGGGATTTTACCCATTCCAATGGGATGGGATTTACCCAGCTAACTTAATTTACATCAGAGTAAAAAGGCCCATGACAATCTGATGAACTGATATCACTGACTGTTTAAATCCCATTGGAATGGGTGAAAAACCCACAGCAACCCCCGGTTAAATCTCAGTCTGGTTTACATGAACTGATTTCCATGGCATTTTCACTGATTATACACAAAAGTATGATTAATATGCTCCATGAAGATGAAATACTCATGTTAAGTGGTTTTTGAGAAATTAATGGATATCCGCTTGCACAGGTACACCCTGTATCTATATTTGATTACAGTTCTGACGAAAATTGCCTTATTATGTAGTTTTTGCTGGAAATGTGTCAAGTGAGAGACGTCTGATACTGAGATACGAACAGTGGTTTAGGACTGGGGGAGAATTTAGTAATTTTTTTGAAGAAAAAAATGGCTAAATTTTTTTTATTTGTTCGTAAAAATTGTCAAAGACGAAGAAGATATTACTATACCTTTATACCGATGACAATGGATGTAATTTTCTTGTCCGTCATTTCATGATGTGATGCATTGATGCACCAATTCAATAATGGTTGATGATTGATTAAGTCCACGTGTAAATTAAACACAGACAACACTTACGACTTGTTTAATATTTTGCTGTGCGTGACCATGCGTCTTTCAATTATAAAATGCCCAAGTTGCATGACACCGACAGACGCCAAGTGCAGCTTTTCCAGTGGGTTCAAAGCATCAATTTTCCCGAGCGATTGTTTGCATAGGCTAAATATCTAAGGTTTGTTGTTTCTTTTGTACTGCCGGTGAAATGTGAATTCCACATGGCGTCATTAAAAAAAACCCATGCATGACATGACCGCGCTCAGACTATAACGAGAACCTTTAAATTAGACTCTGCAGTAAGAGGACTTAGACTGTTTTGCAGTTTTATGACGAGTCCCGAAGGTATGATTCGAAATTTATTGGTGTCCTGTAACGCTTGTACCTGCTAGCACTCGCTGAATTGCTTGCCCTCAGTAAGGCATTCGCCCTTAATGTTATTAAATTGAAACCACGTTAGTTATTGGTAAAGACGTCTTTCCATTGCTAAATGCCCGTGTTGCTTAGTGCTTAAAGACGCCTAATATAAAGGCCGGGTCATACCTCACACGTACCAATGGAAAGCAAGGGCTAATATCATAATGAAACTTAATCGTTGTTGGCGTCATGAAATTCGCTTCGCTTTCGGCCTCGCCATCGCGTGAATTTTGAACAGTAGTGTAAAATTATGTTGTTTTGGTATAGGCCTCCCACTCTTGCCTACATGTGAAGATAAGGACAGTTACATGTCAAGGCTAGGTCGCATGTGGGGGTTATAGGCATGGGCGTCGCCAGGATTTTTTTCTAGAGGGGGGAAAAAAAGTTTTGCCAAAAAATGCTTGTATTTCTCAACACATTCTCGATTTATCAGTTTTAGAGGGGGAAAGGGACATTTTGCCCCCCCCCCCCCAACTCATTAAATTTACACCACTTTGTCTTCGTCTTTTTTTTTCTTCCTTTTTTTTGTTGCTTTTCCAGGGGGGGGGGGGAGGGGGGCCAAGACATTTGCCCCCCCCCCTCGCGACGCCCATGGTTATAGGTCCACATAAGGCATAAGAAACCTGGTTTAATAGGAGTCCATTTTGACACTGGCCTGAAAGGTGCAGGCCAGTATATAGGCCCCAAATAGCATACGCGGGCCAAATCACGATTTGTATGTCCTCAATATTTTTTGCTATAAGAGCATTTTTTTTCCCCTTAAACTTGAGGATTGATAAAAAATGTAATGCTAGAAACCGTGATTACGACTGCAACATTGTATTTATGTGCAATTTGGATGAAATAGTCCCAAAAGTTGCTCTATTTTGCATTGGAGCGTGGGCATCATTTTTCAAAATGGCGATGGGCTTCAGGACTATACTTTTAGGGGTGATTGTCTTTGGAAATGCCATCAGATTACCTGGAAAATATCGAACAAAAGAAGAAAGGTGATGAAATAAGCTTTAATTTGATGGGTTGTCTCAAACACCTTGGAGAGTTGTGAGTATTTTTCCTGATCTTGAGAAGTGGCGCTTTTTATTATCGGGTTATGGCAGTTTGTTTGCTGGTCTGCAACAAGGGCGGATCCAGAGCACAATTTTTTGGGGGGCCCAAAAAAATTTGGTCCCCCAAAAAAGTGGGTAAAAAAAAAATTACGACGTAGGGTTCGGGGCCCGCTTAAGGGCCCCGAATTTTTTTTGGATTCTAGATGCTCTGTGGTGCGATCTGAGGCAATTTCTGACCACTTTAACCAATGTTTTTTTGAGGAAAAGATGGTGGTGTACCCATTGCCTGCCTTTATTGCGATGTCACATAAAAAAATAAAATAAATTGGTTTCGTTTTTTTTGGGGGGGGGGGGGGCATGGCCCCCTTTGGCCCCCTGGATCCGCCCTTGGTCTGCAACCTTAAGCGAGGTCTCCGTCGTTGCGTGCTGTTGTTGAAGCATAATCATATGGGATCATATGTCTTGTTTTGCAATTATCAAATTTATTAAGACTATAGCCATTAACGGTAAAAGACATCATTGGCAAAAAACCCCAGTATTTCAGAAAACAACAATGAAATAAATCCGAATCATGTTATTAAAAAATTGTCGAAAATTCAGTCCAGTAGATATACTAATTGACAGAACTGTAAAAATGCATCGTCATTTTTTTCGACGCAAAGCAATTGAAGGTGTCCGCCGAGAGCCCTCCTTTAATGGTATGTCAGTGGCGGTTCTACGGGACGGGGGGCTAGGGCTGGCTTTAGCCCCCCCCCCAAAAAAAACCCCAATTGTCTAGCCCCCCCCCCATAAAAAAATATTGGAACTAGCAAAATGTAAGAAGGTGACGTACATGCGAGCGGTCTCCCCCTAAATAAATAGTCGTGAGAAGGGTGCATTTGTACACTTTTATAGTGTGCCTGATGTAGGATTTTATCAGCACTCCCCATTGAAAATATGGCACGAGCACCCCTCACCTATTGATTTTCGGAGGCCTAAGTGTCCGCAGAAAATAACCTGTCTACATTTCAGCACGCCTCCCTGCATTTTTTTTTTGGATCCACCATGCTAGCCCCCCCCCCCCCCGAAAAGTATTGGCTCTAGAACCGCCCCTGATGTATGTCACTCGGGGAAAAAACTACTCTCATTCACAGATATGAAACCGATTCGGTCAATTTGGGGCAGTGTGTGTGGGAAAAAAATGCATTGTTTTCTGGTTTAGTTCAAACCATCGCGAGGAAATCATGGTAAATTCGGGTCGCCTCTTTTCTTGAAAATGACTTGCGTACTAGGCGTAACGATTTCACAGGATGCGTAATTCTATTGCTTACTTGAGCTGCTTATGTGCTGGTGGGTGTGTGTTTATATTGGGGGGGGGGGCAGCAGTAGATCGCACCCCCTTCCCCCGTTCAGTCGCTGACTAATATTATGATACAAGTGAAAATTATAAATGGAATGCTAAAGTTCATAGTTATTCTCTAATTACCTTAGAATGCAGTAGAAAGCGCCGTAGATTTCAAAATATTCCCGGGGGCAAGCCCCGAGACCATAAAGCAA